CCCGCCACCCAGAGCTGCAGGGAGCACACGGCAGTGTGGCCGTGACCCTGAGGACGGAGATGCAGGTGGCGGGTTCAGCCTGCCCCGTCGCTCCAGCCAAGGGCAGCCACTGCACCTCCCTGGTAGACAGGCCCTTCAAAGAGCACCCGGGCACTTCCAACCCAGTAAACACCGCCTGCCTACTCAAAGTGTGGGTGCACACCCGCCACTGCCCCGCCCATGACCAGTCCCTCCTCTCCGGGCTCCACTCTGACCCTCACCTGCACCCTCCGCTCCCCTCACGGCCTCCATTCATGTCTCCCCAGAGCAGTCAGTTTACCGCATTTCTTGTGTCACGTTCCTGTTCCTGTCTTGAAGTAGGAAGGGCCAGACTCTGGGCCTCGCACACGAGTGTGCTCATCTGAGGCCACACTGGTGCATGGGACCCGGCATCATGAAACCAGAAAAATTCAGCAGCTGCTGCAGACACGCCTTAGTGTGAACAGGCTGTGTGGGTCCCTCCCTGGCCACAGCAGTGAGGTGCACCTACTGGACTGCTGCACCACGCAAGGACAAGGGCGCTGGGCGCCTGAGCAGGGGCCGGGGGAACATGTGCTGCCCACGCCCAGGACAGGCCTGCTGCCAACACAGGCTTCTAACTGGCGGCACCCCGGACCCGCCGAAGCCGCCCCCGGTCAGGTGCCACCTGAGCCAAGACGGCAGCCGTCCCCAGGCTTCTCTCCCATCGCACACGGCCTGCACCCCAACTCAACCTGCAAGGAGACTGCCCGCTGCCTCGGTGGCTTTTTCTTTTTTTTTTTTTTGGAGAGGTTTTTCACTACAGGGCGTGTGCTCTTACCAGAGACAAAGCGAGAAATCACCCCCCAGGGGGGATGGTCACGCTGCAATCCCTTCTCCTCCATTCTCCTCTCGGGATCTTGGGGACGCACGCACACGCGCCCGGTGTGAGTTTTAAGCCACCAGGTCCGGGATGTGAACCGTGGTCGACTACGTGGGAGTCCAGTGACATAGCCACCACCAGCAGGAGCGGGGCCCAGGGTCCGCACCCTGGTGTTCCCCTCTGCGTTCTCGCTCAGCCAAGCCCTCTGGGCTCCCCCAGGACCCCCTCACAGGCTCAGTGGAACCATGAGTCACTGGGTGACGGACAGGCCCCGCCCCATGAGATGCTCAGTACCACGGGGAGCCCCGGCCTGGGAGCCCCTGGCAGTGCGCAGGCTTTCTGCGGGTGAAGACCGCTGCAGCACGACCGGCCCTCCGCCTCCCCTTTCCAACCACCACCCTGCCTGATCCGGGCTCTCTTGCGAGGAGGTCCTCGCCAAGATTCCTGGGCCGCTCACAACGTGGCTGCTCCACGGCGTGGCTGCTCCACGGCATGACCGAGCCATCTGCAAATAGACTTTATTCCCCAAGAAAAGCCCCAAGTGCTGGGTTTCCGCAGTTTGTCCTGCCCGGGTCCTCTGTTCTGCCCCAAGCGGGAAGTCACACGAGTCTAGAGTAACGTCGAACCGTCTGGCGTCAGCGTGCTCCCAGGCACCCAGCTTCGTGGTCCTCACTTCGATCCTGACTCGGGAACTCCAGACCCAGACGGCGCAGCGAGTGCACGAAGAAGCGGGGAAGCGGGCACACCAAGTGGAGCTCTTCCTTCCTGGGCCCCAGGGCCGGCAGGACCAGCTGCCGGGCATGCAGGTGCAGGGGGAGGTGGCGGGCCTTCGACTGCTCCAGCCCCAGCTTCTTCAGGGTACCAGAAGGCAGCTTCTGCAGTAAGACGGGCGGACCTGGGGGTGAGGCTGATGCGCCACGGTCGCCCAGGGCCAGGGGCCCTCCTCTCGAGGGAGCCCGTGCCAGCCCCGTGCAGTCTCGGAGGGCCTGCTTCAGGGTGTGTCTAGGGAGGGCTGGGAACCCAGGTGGGGGCAGAGCCAGCACCCAAAGGCACCCTTTCTGGCGCGTGCCCTGCCTCCCAAGCCCGGGCGGCAACTAAGGGTGACAGCTCCCCAGCACCTGCCTTCAGCCCTTACGGCAGCCCCTGCCCACAGCTGCCCCGCGAGCCCTCGGGGCACACACGGAGGAAGCGCTGAGCCTTTGCTGACGGATCCTGCAGCTCGTGGGGACAGTAACGGCTGCTGAGTCTCCAGGACCCATACCCAGCCCAGTGCTGTGTCTGGGGACAATCGGGATCCTGGCTGCGAAGCACAGCAACTTTCAACCAGGAGAGATAGGTGTCCCCCTCGCCTCAATGGGTCACCAAATTACCTGGGGGGCCAACTTGTTCCAGTCTGAGTACTTGTGGTCACCGAGGATTGGGCAGTCCAACCCGAAAGACAGGTGAACACGGAGCTGGTGCTTCACTCCTGAGAGAGAGGGGACAGGCATGGGGGAGATTAAGGGGACCCGTGTGGGGAGCGACAGAGAGAGAGGGGACACGTGTGGAGAGCCACGGAGCTGCCAGGGCTGGCTTCTGTGCCAACCACACCAAGCCAAAGCACACCCAGTACTGCCCAACTAACGGCACACCGTACCCCGGGTTGCAGCACCCACTGTACCCCATGAATGCGTGCCATGGCTACTTGCCAGTTAACGAGCACTTATTTTTAATAAGTTACGAGAAGCTGTAGGTGCACCAGCTGGCCTGGGAAGCCCACAGCTCAGACACCCTGTGACCCGGCCCGTGAGCCCCGTGCCACCATGTGGCCCCGGCATGCCCCCGGGCTGCCACTACCGCAGCCTCAGACACCTTGCTGAGTATCGGCAAACAGTGCTTTTCAGGAAAATCCGCTACAGGTTGCCCTGCTCAGCAGGGACAGAGAGGGGAAGAGAGAGCGCCCGGGGGATGACCATACCAAGCACTCCCCTTCCATCCTCCTCTCGGATTTTGCACATGTATGCATACATGTCTGGTGAGGGTTCAAGCCACTGGGTCTGGGACTTGAACTACCTGCTGCCGGCCAGGTGTGTGCATATGCCCAGTGTGATTTTCAAGCCACCAGGCCAGGACTCAAACTGCACAGGATGTGTGGCCTTAACCACTAGGGAACGGGGCCGGCCCAGCACTGGTTTCTTTTTTTTGGGAGAGGTTTTTGCTAGAGGGTGTGTGCGCTCGCCAGAGAGACAGAAAGCGAGAAATCACCCTCCAGGGGGGATGGCCACATTGCAATCCCTTCTCCATTCTCCTCTTGGGATCATGGGCAAGCACACACACGCACCTGGCATGAGTTTAAGCCACCGTGTCTGGGACTCGAACCACAGTCAACTACTTGGGAGTCCAGCGACATAGCCATTACACTAGCTGGTCTCAAGCTCTAATTGTGGTCAGGCTAAAAAGAGCTTGCAGTACACACAGACAGTACACAGACGTGTCTCCACTCAGCCGGCTGCCGTGAACAGGCCCGCCCGGCCTGCGCCCGCCCTGGGTGCCTCCCCCAGCGGAACGCAGGCAAGGACGGTGCACGCCCTCTGCTGCCCTGGGCCTGCGTGGGGTCTGGCTTGGGGCAGCATGCGCTCCTACCGCTCCTGGGGCCCTGCTGCTCAGAGCTCGGCAGCGCCCAGTGCGTGCCGGGCTGGGCTCAGGCTCCAGACTCCAGCTCTGGACTCCCGCGGCAGACGGGGCCTCACCCGTGATGGGCTGGAGCTCCACGAGGGCGGAAGAGCACGTGCTGCTGAGTGCCTGGTACCGCGTGACTGCGACCCGTGCGTCCCGAGGGGGCCGCACCTTCACTGCCTTCCCGTGGTCCATACGGTAGCTCGGGGACAGCGTCATCTGAACCCAGAGAGACTGTGCTGTGATAGCTGCGGGGAGCAAAGCCCGGGCGGGGGGGTGCCACTCACCTTGTGGTGCCGCTGCCCGCTGCACACCTCCCTCTCGACGATGGGGATCTCCACCACTCCTGCCGTGCGCTCGGGGGCGCC